CAGACACTTCTCAAAAGAAGATATTTATGTGGCCAACAAATATATCAAAAAAAGCTCAGCATCACTGATCATTAGAGAAATGCAAATCAAAGCCACAGTAAGATACCATCTCACACCAGTCAGAATGGTGGTTATTAAAAAGTCAAGAAACAACAGATGGTGAGGCTGTGGAGAAGTAGGAACACTTTAACATTGTTGGTGGGAATGTAAATTAGTTCAACCACTGTGGAAGACAGCGTGGCAATTCCTCAAGGATCTGGAACCAGAAATACCATTTGATCCAGCAATTCCATTGCTAGATATATACCCAAAGGAATATAAATCATTATATTATAAAGATACATGCACGTGTATATTTATTTCAGCACTATTCACAGTATCAAAGACGTGAAACCAGCCCAAATTCCCATCAATGATAGACTGGATAAAGAAAATGTGTTACGTATACACAATGGAATACTATGCAGCCACAAAAAAGAATCAGATCATGTCCTCCGCAGGGACATGGATGAAGCTAGAAGCCATCATCCTCAGAAAACTAACACAGGAACAGAAAACCAAACACCTCATGTTCTCACTCCTAAGTGGGAGCTGAACAATGAGAACACATGAACACAGGGATGAGAAACACACACACCAGGGCCTGTTGAGGGAGTAACGGGTGAGGCGAGAGAAGGGAGAGCATCAGGACAAATTGCTAATGCATGCAGGGCTTAAAACCTAGGTGACAGGTTCATAGGTGCAGCAAACGACCATGGCACATGGATACTTATGTAACAAACCTGTACATTCTGCACATGTATCCCAGAATGTAAAGTTAAATAAATAAATAATTTTAAAAATAAATATTTGAATAGGCACCTCGTCAAAGAATTTGTATGAACCTAAGAACATCATCTCAATTATTGGCATAGCCATAATAATTCTGGAAGATTGTGGGTAATGATAAGACAAAAAATAGTTCAGAAAGAAATGTACAACTCTTTAGTAATTAATAGAAGAAGCAAGCAAAAAAATGAAACCTAGGACAGGTATAAACGATTTAAATAACATGATTAACAAGCATGAAGTAATGTATACACATAGAACACTACAATTGAAAAATATACATTACTTTCAAACACAAAATATTTATAACAATTCTTTTTATATTCAGTCAAAAATCAAATACTTCCAGCTTTCAAGAGATTTAAATCATATGGAATCGTTCATTGAATGCAATGCAGTATGTTAGAAACTATGACCAAAAAATAGGAAATGTCTTTATGTAAGTTGAAAATTTAAAATATATTCCTCTGTGTATAACTATGTAACAAGCCTGCACGTTCTGCACATGTACCCCAGAACTGAAAGTATAATAATAATAAAAAGAAATATGTGCCTAATAACATGCTCATCTATCTCAGCCTCCACCCAGTTCTGTTCCCTTGCTGGAGAGACATTGCAATCACTGGGTATATACCCAAAGAAATATAAATCATTCTATTATAAAGACATGTACATGTATGTTCATTACAGTACTATTCACAATAGCAAAGACATAGAATCAACCCAAATGCCCATCAATGATAGGCTGGATAAAGAATATGTGGTACATATACACCATGGAATACTATGCAACCACAAAAAGGAATGAGATCATGTCCTTTGCAAGGATATGGATGGACCTGGAAGCTATTTTCCTCAGCAAGCTAACCCAGGAACAGAAAATCAAACACTGCGTGTTCTCACTTATAAGTGGGAGCTGAACAATGAGAACACACGGACATATGCAGGGGAACAACACACACTAGGGCCTTTGGGGGATGCAGAGGGAGGGAGAGCATCAGGAAGAATAGCTAATGGATGCTGGGCTTAGTACCTAGGTGATGGGGATCTGTGCAGCAAATCACCATAGTACATGTTTACCTATGTAACAAACTTGCACATCCACACATGTTCCCTGGAACTTAAAAGTTAATGAAAAAATAAAATAAGAAATATGTGCCTACTAACTCAATCTTCAAAGAAGAAATCATAATGGAAATTAGAGAAATGGAAACTAGTTTTCAACAAGTTGACAAGAATAAATACTATGTCTCAAAATATATAAGATGACAGCTAAGGTTCTTGGAAGGTAATTTATGGCCTTTAATGTGTATTTTCAAAAAAGTATAAAGACTGAAGACCAGTGATCTATTTAAGCATCCATCTCAAATGGGAAGAAACTAACCCTTTAGAAGCCTTTTTGTTTTTGACATCTCAATTCTCTATATTACATTCAAATAGAGAAAACAGAGAGAAAGCAAAGTAAGAAATAATCAAAGAATTATTTCAAGAAGTTTTCCATGCTTGAAAATCTTGAGTTTCCAGTTTGAAAGAGATTATCTAGTGCTTAGGACTATGGATAAAAATTGCTGTATGCCACAGTAAATTGTTGTGAGTGCTCAGAACCCAGAGAACAAAAAGCAAAAGCTGAAGAAAACTTCCAGAGAACAGAAGGATTAAGAAACAGAATTGTATCGTCCTTCTTATCAGCAACTTTGAAAGAAGGAAGAGAATGGAACAATGTCTTGCAAATTCTAAGGGAGAACTATTTATAACCTAGGACCCTAGACCCAACCAATTTGTCAGGTAAGTGTAAGGATGAACTAAAGACATTGTTAACTTATATACATCTTTTCTCATCAAGTTATGGGAGAACAAAAACACCAAAATAAGGCACAAATTAACGAAGAGGTTAAGATGAGAGTCAAAGATTGGAGGCTTAAACACATGGGACATGTAAATTGAATCCCCAAAATAATGGTGAAGGGAGCTCCCTAGATGATAACTGCACAAGCCTAATGAAAAAATTTGTTCAGATTTGAGCACGTTGGCAGGCTTTGGGAGACATGTCTCCAAGAATATTAAACTGAAAGAATCTCTGATGCCTCTGAATATATTCAAAAGCAATTTAGACAATAGTGGGGGGAGTAGTTTGGAGTTAAGTTAATTATAAGTACATAGAACATAAGAAAACAAAAACATCCAACAATTATTAACTTCAGATAAAGAAATTTTCTTAAGAAAATAAGTATAGCAGATTCATTTTTAAAGTCTCAATTCTCCACATTATTCTATATATTCAAAAAGAGAGAACTAGTTTAGCTGTCAACAAGATTTTATGTAGTTATAATAATGTAAATGCTGATATTCACACAATGAAAATTTTAACAGTTGAAGCTTGTATGTGGTGATAATGAGATAAGATAGTGAAAGATCGTTAAATCTTTTATCTTCCCTAGTTGGACGTCAATAGATAATGCCTAAAATTAACACATCAAAATCTAACAATATAGCCCTTTTTTTGTCTGTTATGGTTATGGGTCCCAAATAAAGATAGTTGATTCTGGAAAGCAAGATGCAGTCTTGGGGATATGTGAGGAACTATGAGACTTTGGAAATTAAACAAATAGTTTGACATATAGTTTCACTCTTTAAATTATATGTCTGTATAAATTTTATAATATGAAAAATGAAAATTAGAATATATGTAAGTTATCAAATAATTGCAGAGACATTTTAGGTTTTTAGCGCCCTTATTTTATATGCCATTTGTTTCTAAATCCTGTAGGATAACGATTTCCTAGGAAATACTTGAATAGATCCTACTAGAGTTTAGTTTTTAAAAATTGGCAATGTGAAAATATAAATTTCAGGTGTTGTGTCTCTATATTAATGTCATTCTTTGGAACAATTCATGTTTTGTGACCAGTATGAATTAAAACTTGTAAATAATGTTGGAATGTAGTCAGATATCAACCAGTGGCTAATTTGCAAAAAAAAAAAGTAAAACTGACTTATATTAAGTGCTTACTGTGGATCAGGCACTGTGCTAAATAATTTCACATCTGCCTTGATGGCAGACAGGGACTAGATTTAAATGAATTTTGTGCCCCTTGTGTCCAGCACATAGTTTGGTACATAGTACGGCCTCTCTCTCTTTATATATCAGGACCAAGTAGGGTTTATTCAGTACTGGACAGTATTAACCATGTATTTTATTTTCTATATTCTGATACTTGGACATCTGGGACCTTGATGACCCTAGAAGGACCGCACTTCCTTGGGTTAGTTAATTCCTAGAGGCAACTTGCCCACGAGCATGTTTTTTAAATGCTTTTTGATTTTTAAACCAACCAGTTCAGAGGTCACACACAACCATTTCCTTTATTTGGCTCTGGGACTAGGTACCAGACTAGGCATAGCTCCTATGCACTTAAGCCTGCTGAAATTATTAAAACTAGTCAACCATAGGCCTTCTTGCCTTGCCTCTTCCTTCCTAAGGAAAGCGCAATAAAGACTCTTACCCACAGTTATCCCCTCTTTCTCTGTCTCCTGACTGGCCCCAGGGCTTGCCCATGTGGCCCCCTGTGGCATGATATCCCCCTACTCTTGGGAACTGTGACTAATAAACCATCTTTACAAACTCAATCTGCTGATCTGTTGGCCTTGCTATACTTCAATTTTTCTCTTAATGCACAATATTTTAAAACATAGGCAGTCTATCTAGAAGCACTCAAGTGAATCAAACTGAAGTCTTCTGCTAAATAAGTGATAACTGTATCTAAAAACATTTAGAAAATTATAATTTGATGGCCCAGTCTAGTGAATAATCCTCATTGAACACTCACCGCTGAGAAAATATTGGCTACATTTATGAGCATGATAGTTTATAGTCATAATTATTAACATAATAATAATAATATTAGTTCATATTTGTGTAGTGCTTTCCCATTTACCATACTTTAACATATATTTAAAAATAATTTATATTATTCTTATTTTTATTGCTGAGGATACAGATGTTTAGAGTGGTTAAATGACTTATCTAATCCTACACAGCTTAAAAGGAACAAAAAAGGAACTTTTTTGTTGTGAGAATGAAATGTATAATTATCATAAAAATGCTTTGACAAATTAAAAGGTATTTTCAAAATCCGAATTTATTTGGCTAAATATGTATTTTATATTAACAGGTTTAAAACCTCAAAAAGGCTTTTGGACCCACTGGAAACTGAAAGAACTCTCCACAGCCACCATTCATGGTAGCGAAAAAGCACCTGCAAAATCAGTAAAGGAAAGAATTGCAGACAGTCAAGAACGTATAACAACTAGTAAGTAAAGTTTTTGTATACTGCAAAATGGAATAGGTAGCAAAAATCAATTAAGTTATTTATTAGGCAGAATTTTCTAATGATTTACTTATTTATTTTTAAATGTTATTTTAATAACATTTGATTTATAGATTGATGTTATAGTGGTACACACTTAAGTCCTTTTTCCATTTACATGTTATAAAATAATGATTTTTTAAACTTTTTATCCTTTCTGTCTTTATGTATACTACAGATATTCTCACTTTTACTTGTATTGCTAACTGTTAATCATGTGTTGTCTCAATAGATAAATTTACATTTTTTATTTTGTTCATTTAAATTATGTTTTCTTTAGGGTTTCAGTTTTGTGGTGTGTTTGTCAAGACTTAACTAAGATTATAAAAATACCTATATTTTTTCTAGTATTTTTAAATTTCCATATTTAATTTAACTCTTTGTTATAAGCAGCATAGTTGTATTCCAATATGATGGGTTTTTTTTTTTTCCAAATGATCCATTTATTAAATAGCCCACTTATAACCTACTTGAAATACCCATTCATTTACATTTTAATATTCTTTTCTGTTTCTTTGAGCCACATGCCAAATTCTTGTGCCACAACCAAAGTCCTCAGTTACTCTACATTAATAAGCTTTATAAGGCGAGTTTATTTCCCTCCTGTTTATGCTATTTCTTTAATACCAAACATAAGTCTAATGCTCAGGTTTCATGTCTGACCAGTTAAATTAGAATCTAGGCTGAGTAATGTTTAAAGTTCCTCAGTGCCTCAGATGATTTCATGTGCAGGCAATGTTAACAAACCACTAATGCAGAGGGAAATAGCTTTCTAACCTATACCTTGATATAGGCCAAGGAAGAGGAGGAATTAACCTACCCAGCCTACTCTTTGGGAAATTATTCTTTAGTTAATCTCTGATTCTGGAATTATTTAATTAGTTAAATTCTTCAGATCTGAGAATTTTGAATTTAGAGCATCACTGTTTTAACTGTGGTTTTCTGTATTCTTATCCCAGTATATATCATCCAATATGATTTCTATCTTTTGTTAGTTACAAGAAATTTTCTTGTTTGCTGTCACCCTCAGTGGTTTAACAAAACTTCATACATATTTGTTCTAGGGGGTGGGGGGCTCATTTCTGGGATTTCTAATAGAAAGAGGAATAGTCTACTACCTTGAGCCAATTTTGTTTATCTGTTTTTGCTTCTCACCCTCACATGTGACTTACTAAATTAAGAGATTTTTTATGAACTTTCCATTTTCTTTTTAATTTTAAGTAACAGAAAAGTGATAAGAATAGCATAAAGAACTCCATATATCCTTTACCTACCAATTATTTATATTTTCCTTTTTCTTTAAATCATTTTCTTTCTTCTTTTTTCACGTAAGCAATTAAAGATTAAACTTCCCTAAGCACTGCTTTAAGTGTGTTGTATTTAGATATGTTGTATTTTATCACTTAATTTAAAATGTTCTAATATTTACTATAATTCCTACTTTGACCCATCAGTAGGTCAAAGTAGGGTTATTTAGAAAAGTGTTGTTTAATTTCCAAATGTTTGGGACTTTTCTAGATATCTTAAAATTACTGATTTCTAATTTTAAAAACTGTGGTCTGAGGACATACTCTGTATGATCTTTTGCAATGTATTGAGACTTGTTTTATGGTCCAGAATGTGGTCTGTCTTGGTGAACATTCCATGTATACTTGAGAAGAATGTATATCTGCAGTTAAAAAAAAATCTCAGATCAAGGTGGCTAATAGTATTATTCAGATCTTCTGTATCGAGTCAGCTAACTGTAGCCTGTGGATTAAATCTGGTGTGTAGCATGTTTTTATACATTCTATGAACTTAGAATGGTTTTTACATTTTTAAGGGTTGTAAAAAAACAAAAATATAAAACAAAATAAAGAATATGCGACAGAGACTACATTGGTCTGAAAATCCTATAATACTGACTTGCCTTTTATAGAAAAACTTTGCTCACCCTAATTTTATGTCTTTATTGATATTTTATTTAGGTCTGTTAATTACTGGAGGGAATATTAAAATATAATTTTAGGATTATCTATTTCTCCCTTTAATGTTATTGATTTTTGCAGTAGCCATTTTTAAATTGTTGAGCAAATATACTTTTATTAAGTTTTTCCTTTAGTATAAAATGTTCCTTGTAACTATGACAATTCTCCTTTTTTTGAGTTCTATTTTGTCCGATCTTAATATAGACACTTCAGATTTCCAATGCTTATGGTTCACATGGTATCTTTTCTCATCATTTTACATATAACTAGTTCATGTTCTTATAAAGCATACTTTTTGTAAATAACCTGTAGTTGAGTCTTGTTTTTTTTTTTTATTCAGGATGACAATCTCTTCACTTTAATTGGGAGTGTTACTTCATTTACGTTTAAAGTAATTATTGATATGGTTAATCTTATTTCTACTAGTTTCTATTTGTTTAGAGATTTATTCCATCTGTTCTTTGTTTTTCAGTTATACTTTCCTGTCTTCTTTTGGTTAATTGAATATTTTTGTCATTCTATTTTAATTCCTCTGTTGGCTATTTACCTATACCACTTTTGTATTTTTTTGAGGCCACTTTAATGCTTACAAAATGCATTCTTAAATTATCAAAATACTATCTAAAGTTAATATTGTCCTACTTCACTTAAAATGTAGGACCTTGGAGCAGTATAGTTACATATACACCCCCTTGTCTTTTGTGCTATTGTCAAATATATCTACATAAATAATAGCCTCATGTTATATAGTGTCATGACTTTTGTTTCAAATAATTACATGTTTTTTTCAGCTTTTTTGAGATCTAATTGGTGTACAATAAACTGCATATATTTATAGTGTAAAATTTGATGAGTTTTGACATATGTATAAATTTTTAAAACCATTACAATTCGAACTAAAAAACATCTCTCTCTCTCTCAAAAGTTCGCTATGCTTTTTTTGTAATTCCTTCTTGCCACCAATTCCCAGGCAATCATTTATGTGATTTTTGTCACTATAGGTTAGATTGCAATTTTCTAAAATTTTACATAAATGAAATTATATAGAGTGCATGCTATTTTTCGACTAACTTTTTTTATTCCACATAATTATTCTGAGATTCATTCATGTTGTTACATGTATTAATAATCTGTTCCTTTGTATTGCTGAATAGTAGTCCTCCATAGTAGGACTATAATATGATTTGTTCATTCATCTCTTGGTGGATATTTGTATTGTTTCCAATATTTGGCTATTAGAAATACAGCTGCTATGAACATTTATATACAAGTATTTGTTTGGATATAGAATTTTATTTCTCTTTGATAAACATCTAGTAGTGGGATGGCAGAGCAGCATGGTTATGTAGTATATGAGGTCATTCTTGCATTGCTATAAATAAATACCTGAACCTGGGTAATTTAGGAAAAAAGAGGCTTAATTGGCTAATGGTTCTGCAGGCTTTACAGAAAGCATGGTGTTGGTATCTGCTCAGCTTCTAGGAAAGCCTCAGGAAGCTTGCACTCATGGCAGAAGGCAAAGGGGGAGCAGGCACATCACATGGTGAAAAAGAAGCAAGTGAGAGAAAGTGGAAGGGAGGTACCACACCCTTTTAAATAACCAAATTTTATGTTAACCCAGAGTGAGAGCTTACTTATCACCAAGGGATGGCCCAAGTCATTCACGAGGGCTCTGCCTTCATGATCCAGCCACTTCCCCCCAGGCCCCACCTCCAACACTAGAGATTACATTTCAACATGAGATTTGGACAGGGACAAATATCCAAACTATATCATTACACCCCTGACCCCTCCCAAATCTTGTCCTTCTCACATTGCAAAATACAATCATGCTTTCCCAACAGTACCCAAAAATCTTAACTCATTCCAGCATTAACTCAAAAGTCCAAAGTCTCATCTAAAACAAGGCAAGTTTCTTCAGCCTATGAGCCTGTAAGGTCAAAAACAAGTTACTTACTTCCAAAATACAATGGGAGTATAGGCATTGGGTTAACATTGCCACTCCAAAAAGGAGAAATCAGCCAAAAGAAAAGAACTGAAGGCCCAAATGCAAGTTCAAACCTGGCAGAGCAGTCACTAAATCTTAAAGCTCCAAAATAACCTCCTTTGACTTTATGTCCCACATCTAGGGCACACTGATGCAAAGGATGGGCACCAAACGCCTTGGGCAGCTTCACTCCTGTGGCTTTGTGGGGTTCTGCCCCCACAGCTGCTCTCATGGGTTATTGAGTGCCTGTGGCTTTTTCAGGTTCAGGGTGCAAGCTGCCAGTAGATCTACCATTCTCGGGTCTGGAGGGCAGTGGCCCCTTCTCACAGCTCGACTAGGCAGTGCCCCAGTGGGTACTCTGTGTGGGGGCTCTTACCCTACATTTTCCCTCTTTACTGCCCTAATAAAGGTTATCTATGAGGGCTCTGCCCCTGCAGCAGGCGTCTTTTTGGGCAACCAGGCTTTTTCATACATACATCCTCAAATCTAAGCAGAGGCTGCAAAACATTCTTCACTCTTGCATTCCGTGCACCTACAGGCTTAACACCATGAGGAAGCTGCCAAATTTTATAGCTTGCATTCTCCAAAGTGGCAGCTCAAGCTGTACCTGGGCCTTTTAAAGCCCCAGCTAGAACTGAAGCAGCTGGGATGCAGAGAGCAGTGGCCCAAGATTGTGCAGGGCAGCAGGTCCCTGGGCCTGACCCATAAAATCTTTTAGTCTTCCTAGGCCTCAGGGCCTGTGACTAGAGGGCCTGTGTCTTAGATTTCTGGGATGCTTTCAAAGTCTTTTTCCCATTGTCTTGGCTATTAGCACTTGGCTCCCTTTTTGTTATGCAAATTTCTCTAGCAAGCAATTGCTATAAAGCCTACTTGAATTATTCTCCCAAAAAAGCCTTATCTTTCTCTGCCACATGGCTAGGTTGCCAATTTTCTAAACTTTTATGTTATGCTTCTTGTTTAAATATGAGTTCCACATTGATCATTTCTTT